TCCTTTCCTTTCCTTTCCTTTCCTTTCCTTTCCTTTCCTTTCCTTTCCTTTCCTTTCCTTTCCTTTCCTTTCCTTTCCTTTCCTTCCTTCCCTTCCCCTTCCTAACTTCCTTCCTTCCTTCCTTCCTTCCTTCCTTCCTTCCTTCCTTCCTCCCTCAGAACTGGGGTTTGAACCTGTGATCTTTCTGCCTCAGCCTCCTGGAGTGCTTGGAATACTGCTCTCTTTCTAATCTATTGAATTCAACGAAGACGTGTTCTCTGAGCTGTAGAAAGACCAGCGGGGATGGGTAGGGCTGGTCTCCTTGGGTGGAGTTTGTCTATCTCCGGGTGGGTGGAGGAGGTGGGAACTTTGGGAACTTTGGAAAGACCAGTGGAGAGGAGAAAACATGGGCACAGTCACAGTGGAGTGGAATGAACACCCCGAGTTTCCGTTCTTCACGCCCCCTGCCTGGCTGCTTTACATGAGGAATCACTTCTCCAGCCAGCTCTAAGGCAGATGCTTCTGTCACCACTGTGTGCATAAACTGAGGCTGAGGGAGGCAGTTGACTTGTTCAGGGTCATATTTCTACAAGTGGAAGGGCTGGGATTTGAACCCTTAGTTCCAAAGACCATACTTTTTGGTTTTTTTAAGCTGTACCACATATCCTGAAAAAATTGATAGGAGCAGCAGTAGAATTCTTGCTCTAACGTGGCATAAAGGGATGTGCTTGTCCCTAACTTTATTCTCTTAGTGGAGCTCAGGGGAAATGAAGGTCACAGCTTCAAGGCTCGAAGCTGAGGAAGAGGATGATGGCAGAGGACGGGAGGGGAAGCCAGGCACAGTCCTGATGTGGGTCCCTGTCTTCCCAGGAGGGCTGGAGGGTCCGCCCTGACTGAGGGTCTGGGGGAGTGTGTGCTTTCGTCTTGTATCTCCCGTGCTTTGGCCCTAGTAGGGGGACACACAGTGAGTAGACCTGACGGGTCCAGTCTCCCAAAGGCAGAGGTGAGCTGGCTCGGAGAGCTTGTGCTTGGCCCATTGCTCTGACCTGCAAGATCCCCAGCGCCCCGGGCGTTCTCTGCAAGCCGCTTCCCCCCAGTGAGGGTGACCCTGTTCCCTCCTGCTACTTGGGAGGATCTAAATATAGAAAACTGCCCCTACTCATGCCTCTCTCCCTCTTTTATTCAGCTTGCTGTGGGACAGCCAACTGCAGTTAATATAACCGCAAACGGCTTTGGATTTGCTATCTGTCAGGTACGTAAGAGTGCTGTTTTTCTCAGTCAGACTTGGCTTTTTATAATAATTCTTTGTCTCAGGACACTGCTAAATCTTTACCGTAGACAATTTATGTAAAATCCTGCGTGGTTTTTACTAACAAAGACCATGGGGGAAAATTACGACCTCCAAGCTTTTAATGAAGAGCAAACCCAGAAGTAAAGACACAGTATACTTTAAATACAACTGAACAATTATATATATGTAACTCAGCAAATGGGCCGGAATTCATTTTTGATAAACCCAATGTGGATAAATCACTGAAAGTAAATGATTGTTGCTTGGGATTTGAAGACATTGGGGTAAATGTGACACCCACAGGTCAGAATGTTTGCAGATCCCAGGTCTGCACTGAAATTCAGAAAATGGGGACCAGCAGGCACTTCTAACCCTGGAGGAAAGAACTGCAAAAATATTGGTCATCTAGAAATGGGTAATGAGTTTTTCTCAGGGTGAGATTTTTTGAAAGTGTGTGCCAAAAAGGAGGGCAAAGGAAACTCAGGTTTGCAGTAAATGTTAACCTCTTTTGGGTAATGAAATGTTAAGCTGTTGGAAATAAACTGCAGGATCTCTTGAGGTTTTGTGATGGAGAAGTTGAGCTTTACTGTGGGCCAGATAGAAAGCCTATTGCTTAGTTGTGGATGGGTATTAGTTACCACCTAAGGGACAACTAGTAGTCCTTACATTTTTTTGGTGGGGGGGTTTGTTTTTTGAGACAGGGTCTCGCCATGCAGTTCAGGCTGGCCTTGAGCTCACTTTGTAGCCCAGGCTGGTCTTGAACTCACAGTGATCCTCCTGCCTCAGCCTCCTGAGTTCTGGGATTACAGGCGTGCGCCACCATTCCCGGCAGTCCTTACATTTTACTGGAAAGGAGATGATGACAGGAACAGAGGCTATACTTCTTCAGTTTCATGAAACTGTTCTCCACCTGCCCCAGGAACAATTTCAATTATTTCTAAAATTAATAATTAATTTTTATAGTTTAAGAAAGAGCTGGAGAACGTCCACAGTGAGATAAACAGAATGATCTGGGGGATGAAAGATAGTATAAATATGGGCTATAGCAGAACATAAAGATTGGGACTCTTTGAGTTTTAGAGGATTTTTTAATGTGTACATGTAGGAAAGGTGCTAGATGTTTACTTCTGAGGGACGTGTGTGCGTGTATGCTTTAGGTCGGGGTAAAAAACGAATGTTGTATAGCAGCTTTAACTGTATGCACATGGGCATCAGAAAAAGTAGATGAGGTAAAGCGTTTGATTAGACTCTGCCCCGTCATGGGATGAGGCTATCCTCAGAAATTCTGGTTACACACCCCAGCTTCTGATTTAGGGTCACTCCGAGCGCCCTTGGTCCTCGTGCCACCTCGGGGTTGCCGGTGTCTGCTGTGTCCTCTTCTCACATCAGTGCGATGAGCAGTGTGTCCTGGAGAAACGCAGCTGACTCAAACTATCATTTTTAAAATCACCTTTGAAAGGCATTCCGTGGTGAAGAAGAATCCTCAGCAGTTGATATTTTAGTTTTGATGTATTTTACAGAGAGTCTGTAAGACTCTAGTGTAGCACTTACTCGGGTGGCAGAGCTTAGAGGTTAGAGCTTGCTCTTAACACAATTGCCAGTCACTTCCCTTTCCCCTTCAGGACCATGTTTTATGTTCCTTGTAAAAACAAGCCGGGTGTGGTGGCGCACGCCTGTAATCCCAGCACTCGGGAGGCTGAGGCAGGAGGATTGCTGTGGGTTCGAGGCCAGCCTGGGTTACATAGTGAGTTCAAGACCAGCCTGAACTGCATAGTGAGACCCAGTCTCAAAAACAAAAAACGAGGGGTGGTGGGGCTGGGGATTTAGCTCAGCGGCACAGCGCCTGCCTGGCAAGCGTGAGGTCGTGAGTTTGATTCCCGGTACCGGAAAAAAACCAAAAAAACCCCAAAAAACAAAAAACAAAACCCCAGAAAACAATATCCCATGAATATCACCTACAGTGTTCTGTGATACTTATTTGGAATACTACCTACCAATTTTCTCAAATTTTAAAAATAATTTTTCATAAACTTTACAGTATTTTTTAATAATGATGCATTACTAGCCAATGGAACTATATATATTTTTAGTTTGAAGATTATAAATCCAATTGGATTTATTCCAGTTAGAATTATTGGCTAATAGGGGCTGGGGATTTAGCTCAGTGGCAAAGCGCCTGCCTGGCAAGCGCAAGGTCGTGAGTTTGGTTCCCGGTACCGGAGAAAAACCAAAAAAAAAAAAAAAAAAGAATTATTGGCTAATATTTAGACTGCACAGTGGTGGCAACGTAGTTTTAGTAATTTATTGCTAATTTGTTATTTATGCTTTTTATTTATTGCAGCTCAATGTTATTTATAACGTGAAAGACTCAGGGTTGGTTAGAAGACGAAGATCAGCTGAGAATCAAGAAGCCTTTGATTTAGACGTTAACGTAAAAGATAATGAAAATGATGTCAATCGTGTGAATCTGAATGTGTGTACAAGGTAGGCGGCTCCTCTCCCTCCTTCCTTAAATAACAGATTTGAGGGTGTAATTATGTTTCACCCTTAAACTATAATTAATACAGAGTCATATTCAATAACGAGTTTAGCTTTGGGTTATACTTCAGACTGTGGACTAGCAATACTACTAAGTATATTCAACCCTTCCTTCAGCATGCCTCAAAATTATTTACAAGTTTTCCTCATATGTATAAAAAATTTAAGTAGAAAAATTTAGAAATTAATAAAACTTAAGTCTAACTTAGGAAAACTTTAATATTCCAAAATGGATTTTTTATGAGTTACTTTTCTGTTGAAGCAATTTCATTCCTGTTCAAATTTAAGCTTAACTCTTATACTTTTGACCCAAAGACTTATGTGTGTTCAGTTCAGAGAATAATTTTTTTTTTGGTACTGGGAATCAAACTCAGGACCTTGCACTTGCCAGACAGGTGCTTGTGCCGCTGAGCTATATCCCCAGCCCAGGGAATAATTTTTGGAGATACACAGAGAGTTTTCCAGTGTAGAAGATTCCCATCTTAGATACTTGAACTCTGATAACTGCAACTTCTAGAAGTGCTTATGAAGGCGATTCTTAAATTGGTCAATATCCAAGTCATCTGAAGCTCCTCAGTTGAAAGGAAAAGAGGCTGTTTGTCAGATCTGCGACTTCACAGGAGGGCTGTGAAGTTGCCTGAGCCAGCTTCTGTGTGATTTTTTTTTTTCTTTTTCTTTTTCTTTTTGAGACAGTCTCACTATGCAGGTCAAGCTGGTCTTGAGCTCACTTTGTAGCCCAGGCTGTCCTCGAACTTGCAACGATCCTCCTGCCTCAGCCTCCCAACTGCTGGAATTACAGCTGTGCACCACCGTGCCCGCCTCTGTGTGATGTTTTAGTACACATACACATTTGAGAACAAGACAGTGAGAAAGTTCTAGAATTACTGGGAGGCTTCATAATTTCTTCCTCGTTGAGCTGTTGTCTTACACCTGTGTTGTTCGGTGCAGAGCGCAGGCTTACATTCAGAATGCACTGACACCGAGGAGCTGCTGTCCGCCCTTCTGATCCCTCATTGCATTGTGGTTGCGCGTAGCTTGTTGTCGGCCAAGAGTCACTGATGTGGTCCTCACCTTTGAAGGTATTCTTGGCTTTTGTCCAGGTGCCAACCTCTTAGCCTGGCCTGGACGCAGGCTCCTCATTATGCCTCCATCCATGCTGCCTTTGAGTCTTTCTGTTCATGACTTTAGGGCAGAGTGCCACAGGTATTTGCCCCATTCCTCACCTTCTTGGGCATTTGGGCATCAGGGAGATACCAGCATCTCTTCGGTGGCTTCTTTTGCTCCTGAGAAGGAAGGAGGACTCCCATTATCCTTTACGAAGGTTATAGAATAACAGTATCAAGTTATTATTGTCAGCGGCAATAACCTGCATTTGTCACCAGTGTACCTGCCCGGGACCGTGTAGAGCTCTCCGCGTGCATCTCGTTTAGGCCTTACGACAGACCCGCAGAGCAGGTGCTGTTCCTACCCTGCCTTTCCCTCCCGTTCATCCACTTGCACAGTGAGCGTTGGCCAGTCCTCTTTGTGCCCCGTGTAGCTTTGGGTGAGGAATATAATGGCAAGCCAAAGAAGACACGGGCCTGCCTTCCTGGGATTCACTGTTTGGAGTGGGAGACAGAGACTGATTTAAAAAAACCCTCCAAGCAAGTCTAAAATTCTGGCTTTGAAAAGGTCAGAAAAGAAGAGCACGTAGAACTACGAGAGGGCGTCTTTTCCTTCTCAGGAGGTCAAGTGGAGAAACAGCTGGGGAAGCTGAGGCAGGACTGGGCTCAGGCCACGCGGAGGCCTCGGCTGCAGGGCTGCTGTAGCAATGCACATTCCTAATTGCAGCCAGCTTCGGAGTGAGGTGGGCCACACACTGGTAGGGAAGCAGAAACTAAAGAAACGTCTTCCTATGCAGTAGAGACTTTAATTTTATTTATTTATTTTTTATCTTTTTGAGGCAGAGTCTTGCTATGCAGTTCAGGCTGGCCTTGAGCTCACTTTGTAGCCCAGGCTGGTCTCGAACTCACAGCGATCTTCCTGCCTCAGCCTCCTGAGTGCTGGGATCAGGTACGCACCACCATGCCCGGCTAATAGAGACTTTGTAAGAAATTTTTTTTTTGGTACTGGGAATTGAACTCAGGCCCTTGCGCTTGCCAGGCAGGCACTGTGCCACTGAGCTATATATTCCCAGCCAATATAAGAGAGTTTTAAATGCTACTACTAGTTTCCTGAGGAAAATCTGGTATCAAACACAAATTGACGTTGACTGATTTCTTTCTTTTTTTTTTTTTAGTGGCACTTTATAAAAAGGATTGCCTAATATTTCAGGCACTTTATTCCTACTAGCAGGGTCGAAGACTGGCCCCTAGGCCCCATTTTCGGTGTGCTGTGCAGTTTGATGAATTCTGCCCTTAGTTGGGAGAACTGGTGTTTTGAGTGCCTCTGGTCAACCAAGGCGCTTTGCTGACATGCATCCGACAATCTGCATCATACTGTTTACTCTTTAAGTAGATGGGCTATTTTTCTCATCTGCGACTTCTGCTCACATGTAGACACCTCTAGTTTCAGTCCAGGTTTTAGCCTCCAGCAGTGTCTTTTCTGGCTAAGCGTATCACCTAGCGGATGGTTTCCGTTGCTCCGGATCGCAGGGCTGCTGAAGTCAGTGGTTGCACCATTTGGCTTTCTCAGTCAGTCAAGTTTGGCAGGCCTTGGTTGCTACTCCATAAAGCAAGATTTTCCATCAGCCCTGCTTGTTTTTGTCATCTAAAAGCACAACAGGAAATAACACTGCAACGAGCCTTTTATGTTGGAAGGACACTTCTTCCTGTAACCGCACCAGGCTCATTTTAGGAAAATATTTTTAAGGAGACAAAGTGATATTGGTGCCCAGGTCCTCATGGTGAAAGAAGGACGCAGTTCAGTGCCACTCCCCAAGCCTCCAGTTCTGTCAAGGGGCCAAAGAAAACACAAAATGTCTTCCACGTGTGTGGGAGAACAAAGGGAACCCTCTCACGCCTCTTTTTCCCCTAAAACCAGGTAGAGAAGAGGTCGCTAACCACTTGGCTAGGCCTCCCCCTTTGTGGCCAAGTGATGCCTGTTTTCCAGGTTCTAGCTTTCAGCTGGAAAGTTTGGTGCTGATTTGTTTTGGAATTGGCACTACACAATGCCGGGAGGCCTGTCGGAAGGGTGTTTGCTGTGTCTGTCACAACCCGGGATCACAGCCTGTTGCATTGTGGGTATTTTATCCCATCCACCTGAAAAACCCATTGCCCCTCCTCACATGGTTTCAGAAAGACGATCGCACGTGTGGGCTGAGGAAGACTTGTCAAATTTTCTTTAGTAAATTTTCTTTCAGGTCAAGCAGTATCTGGGTTAACATTTGGCCATTTTAATTTTTGTATGAAGGTCATTCGCTGATCACTTTAGGTTTTCCCTAAAGGATATTTTCCCTTTCTCTTCTCTTTGGTTTAGGTTTCTGGGCCCAGACAGAAGCGGCATGGCCCTCATGCAAGTTAACCTTCTCAGTGGCTTAGCAGTGTCGTCGGATGCAATTCCTCTGAGTGACATAATAAAGAAAGTGGAACATGATCACGGGAAGCTCAACCTCTATTTAGATTCTGTAAGTAGGAAAAAGGAAGTTCTATAAAGCCACTACTAACTGTGTTTGGAAGTCCATTTTAAATATGTTTTCAGGGCCAGGGATATAGCTCGGGCACAGTGCCTGCCTAGCAAGTGTGAGGTCGTGAGTTTGATTCCTGGTACCAAAAAAAAAGATCATCAAAGGAAATTTTAGCTGGGCATGGTGGTGCATGCCTGTAATCCCAGCACTCGGGAGGCTGAGGCAGGTGGATCATTGCGAGTTCGAGGCCAGCCTGGGCTACAAAGTGAGCTCAAGGCCAGCCTGAACTGCATAGCGAGACCCTGTCTCAAAAAGCCAAAAAAAAAAAAAAAAAAGTTTTTGTTCCGTCATTGTTATATCAGTTTTTGTGTCCCTGAGTGATTTTCCCATGGCAACTGTTTGTCTCCGCTAAAATGACATCACTATAGAATTGGTTTAGAGAGAGTTACTGTTAATGATGAGCTAGAGGAAAGTCTTGATAACTTAAGTCCTAATTTTGTGCTAGATGTAAAACATAGAGCCACTGCTGTTGTATAATTTCAGAAGTTCAGTGCAGATCAATTTGAAAGCCCCTGTCTCTCAGGAGATTGCAAAACATTTGCTTAAGTGCTGAAGATAAAAAGCTTAAATGACTTGCTTTTCATGAAATGTTTAACGTATCTTCAAATTGTTAATGTTCCTGTCATGAAAAGTTAGGTGTTTAAATCAGAGAGGAATAGTCTCAGACTCTTGGTCTTGACAAATAATTGTCGTGTAACCTTCATGTACCTGCCCCATTTCTGAAATATTGCTGGCAATACAAGAATAGGTGCATAGAATATGTCAGGGAAAGGTCTGAAGAACTGCAGGCTGGACTTGTTTTGTCCTAAACCTGCTTGCATGCAGGTTTATCCTTTTCCTCTAGCATGTGTGTGAAAACTCTTAGGCTGAGTTGAAGGTGAGTTCCAGGTGTTTTTAGGATTTCATGGTACGTGAAGAGGACGTATACGTTTCTTATTCCAGTTTTGCTAAATTTGAGTCAGCTGTATACTGCCAGTTTTTTTTACCTTTAAAAGCTAGGCCCTAACAACAACAACAAAAAGCTAGACCCTGAGTGTTCTTATTTATTTTACTACTTCAAAAACTATTCTAGTTAAAGCCCTAATTCAGTCTTTCAATTCTTTTGCTGTCCAAGAATTTTCTTGCCATGTGTGGTGGCACATGCCTGTAATCCCAGCCCTTGGGAGGCTGAGACAGGAAGATCGTTGCCAGTTCAAGGCCAGCCTGGGCTACAGAGTGAGCTCAAGGCCAGCCTGAATTGCATAGTGAGACCCTCTCTCAAAAAAAAGAATTTTCTTAAATTAAGTACTACTTGAAAGCTACAGGCTTGATTTAGAACTCGAGAAACAAACAAGATTTTTTTTTTTTTTTTAATTTTAAAGAGTAAAAGAAGGACAACATAACAATAGGGGGAGTCACCGAATTACAAACAAAGTGGTAGGACATTATCAATGGTTGTTTTTTTTTTTTTGGTTTTTCTCTGGTACCGGGAACCGAACTCACGACCTTGTGCTTGCCAGGCAGGCACTTTGCCCCTGAGCTAAATCCCCAGCCCCCAATGGATGTTATTTTACCTATTGGTATCAAGATAGTTTCTCAGGAAAGATTTTTATTTAGTAATGTAATTGCCTTGGAAGTGTTCTTGGACCTGATAGTTTTTGTGAATGGTTATCTTGAGTATATAATGACTTCTGAATGGTTAGTTTGACTTTTCATATGCTGTTATTGGCAAGTAGTGAATGTTTGAAGGAATTCACAAATTTTTGGTTCCTTAATCGATCCTGGTTACAGATTGACATGAACTGTCCCAGGGAGGCAGGGAGGCCGGCCTCGTATCAGTCAGGGTGCACCCCTGATGCCGGGCACCTCCCTTGCAGGGTAGGGTGGCTCCTATGGGCAGAGGGCAGGTCCCTAGGAAGGGGCTCTGTGAGCCATTGCCAGTGGCTGGAGGTTGTTCTCAGGGCCTGAGACAGGAGGAGCAGGGGAGGCACTGGTGTCCTAGGAGCACACACCTTGGGGTTTGTGGTTGACTTAATAACTGATTCTCATATCCTTTTTAGTGAAGTGGAACTAAGACCAGTATCTATCTTGTGAGGGTTGTTTTGCAGGTTAAAATAAGATAATTCGTAGAAAATACTCACTGCAGTACCTGGCATGTAGAAGTCCTCTCTAAATGTTTGTTTGTTTCCTAAAATAATAAGAAAAGGAAATGTGTCTTACTTTTATTATGAACACACGGTGTGTCAACTCCTTAAGAATCTTTTGTGTTTTTTTTCAAGGTAAATGAAACGGATTTTTGTGTTGATATTCCTGCTGTGAGAAACTTTAAAGTTTCAAATACCCAAGATGCTTCAATATCCATAGTGGATTATTATGAACCAAGTAAGTGTGGTCTAGAGTTCCTGATACTTCGGAAGTTAAGCCAGGCATCCATCTATCCATCTATCCACCCATCCATTGGATTATTATTATTATTAATCTTTTAGAGACAGGCTTTCACTGTGTAGTTCAGGCTGGCCTTGAACTCACTTTGTAGCCCAGGCTGGTCTTAAACTTGCAGCAGTCCTCCTGCCTCAGCCTCCTGAGTGCTGGGATTGCAGGTGTGTGCTATCACGCCTGGCCTTATTATTATTATTTTTTAATTGAGTTTCATTTGTGGTTTGGATTAATTCTGTGGGGCCAGGTGGTAGGGGAAAGTGTAGGAGGTGGAGATGCAGGAGGTAAGTTTCCCATGTAAAGGAAGACTATAGATTCATTTACAGGGGTCACATGATACTGTTTAGCATATGAATGTTAAAAAGCGATAGTTTGCTCCTAGTGTTTTAGGCTTTCACTTACAATTTGTAGAAGAAAAGTTGGCGTAGAGATAGAGAATCCCGTTACGTTTCCATCTGACTCTTGCTGCCAAGTGGGAGGTGTGCGGGGGCCTGAGTAGCATCTGCAGTGCAAATAGGCCGGGGTGGGGGTGGGGGACTTCATCACGGGCGGAGTCTGGTGGTTTGCTGAAACATACACATTATAACACATGTTATTTTAGTGTATCAAGAAAAATGTACTCTTTTTAAGATACTTCAGCTTCTTGATTTGACTGGTAGCTTATTTTATAAAATGATAAGAATTTAGGATGTCAAAATAGAGAACTGGCACAGAACCTGCCTGGCAAGTGGGAGGCTCTGAGTTTGATCCCTGGTACCAAAAAAAAAAAAGAGAAGTGGTCTAGAGATCTGCATTCAGTCCGAGTGATTTTTAGTGCGTGATCGCTGGGCTGAAGTAACTCCCTGTAGTAAGTGTGACCCTGAATAAGTACTTAGAGTGGCCCAGAGTCATCAGGATGCATTCATGGCTTAGGTGGCTCCAGATAATTAGACTTAAAAACAAGGTGAGAGGGGGCTGGGGATTTAGCTCAGCGGCAAAGCGCCGGCCTGGCAAGTGCAAGGTTGTGAGTTCGGTTCCCGGTACCGGAGAAAAACCAAAAAAAAAAAACAAAACAAAACAAGGTGAGCTTGCCAGTGCTTGGTGAGTATTCAAGGCTGAAGTAGGGACCGTGTCCTTTTCTTCTTGTCTATGCCTCCTGCTGCAGTTAGGGATGAGGACTCACCCAGGCTCCTGGGGGATGTTTTGGAGAGATAGACATAGCACTTTTTTCCTGGTGGGTAATTGGATACACTACGGAGACTCCATGACAGTACTTTGTTATCCAGCGTTGTTATTTAATCTAGTCACAAAATCCCTCAAATGGTGATTTTTTTAGATGCACAACGCTCCCCAAATGGTATTTTTAAGATGCGTGCAGAACATGAACATTCTTAAATTTTTTTTATGGGGAATGGAACTCGGGACTGTGTGCTTGCCAAGCAAGTGCTTGTACCACTGAGCTATGTCCCCGGTCCTCTAAAATTTTTAAATTTTATTTAATTAGGTAATTTATTTTTGCATGGAGAACATTTTAAACATTTAAGAAATGCAAAAGATTCAGTCTTTGTAATATTTTTATGGAAAATAGCTTCTCTTTTTTTGTCTTTTTGAGACAGGGTCTCACTATGCAGCTCAGGCTGGCCTGGAGCTCACTTTGTAGCCCAGGCTGGTCTCGAACTCACAAGGATCCTTCTGCCTCAGCCTCCCGAGTGCTGGGAATACAGGTGTACGCCACCATGCCCGGCTCACAAATAGCTTCTTTATGAGGGGCCATTTTAAAATAGAATTATGGGATAGGTAAGAATAATCAAAACCTTCCAACCCTTTTTTTTTTTTTTTTTTCTTTTGGTACCGGGAATCAAACCCAAGACCTTGCGCTTGCCAGGCAGGTGCTTATGGCACTGAGCTATATTCCCAGCTCCAGCCCATTTTTAAAATTCTGAAAACAACACTTGTATACAAAACAATCTGAAAAGTCATTAAGAATTTTGAAAGTAGAATGTGCTTTTTAAAAATTGCAAAGTAGAAAGCATTTTTATTTTGTATTTTCTTACTGTACTATAGACACTATCTAGTTTTAAAATATTAGCTTGTGCTATAACTGCACTTAGACTGAGTAATGTTTAGACAGTGTGTGCTTGGTGTTTAACAGCATTGACACAAGACATTGCATAGATGGATTTTTTCATGACTGTATATTTTTTAATAAAGCGCAAGGCTAATAGTTCTTTTTAGTAATTCTAATGATTAGAATTTTATTTGTTTGTTTTTTTTTGTTTTTTTTTTTTTTTGGTTTTTCTCCGGTACCTGGAACCGAACTCACGACCTTGCGCTTGCCAGGCAGGCGCTTTGCCGCTGAGCTAAATCCCCAGCCCCTAGAATTTTATTTGAATGCATAGAAAATGTCTTCCTAAAATAAACTCTTTCAGATGTTAAACGATCTTCAGTTCAGCACTTTTCCTGTTCCAGTAAGAGATTGAAGTGCTTGCAGCTGCACGCCATGTGGTCTCTTTATTGCTAGCCAACTGCTGGTGGGAGATAGGTTGGACTAAGGCATTGTTTCTGTCTTGAATTTGATTTGCACTTTGGGCCACTCTTCAACATCTTGTAAAGAGAAAGTAAAGCAATGCAAAGAGTGAAAAACTCACAAAAGGATATGGAAATGCTGTTATGTGTTGGCAAAGTTGGTCTAAATACGGGCATTGTGTAAACTGGTGTCTGCCTCTGAACAGGGAGGCAGGCGGTGAGAAGTTACAACTCCCGAGTGAAGCTGTCCACTTGCGACCTTTGCCGAGACGTCCAGGGCCACTGTCCTTGTGCGGATGGAGCTCCGGGCTCCCATCACCGTTCTTCCGTCCTGTTCATCTTCTCCCTCCTGCTTCTGTGCTCTTTGCAACATTGGCTGTGATTTATTTTTTAAGGACTCCATGTAAAACGAACATTTCCAGAGATCACACGGGATCGCTTTGTTTTCATAGTTGAATATCACCTCTGGCTGTTTTGAAAAACAGTGTTTTCATTCCGTGGGTCTGGGGGGATGGTCTATAACAGGTCCCAGCGGGTAAAGTTGTGTAGATTTCTTCACTTGGCCTTTGTGTGATCAGAATGGCTGTATTTTTATTTCCCCTATTTGAAATCATTAAAGATCTTTTTGGGAAGGTTTTTGTTTTCTCCAGACTGAAAATGTTGTTTTATTCTTCCTACTTTGTAAAAGACGTAATCCTAAGCTGTTCGGCATTAGTGTGCACCAGTGTTTGCTTTACTGTTCAAGATGGACTTCTCTGGGAAGCAGCAGGGGGAGCCTGTCCTGTTCTCTCCCTACTCTAGTCTTAGGCACAACTATGGTCTCAGTGCATCTTTCTGAATTGGACCCTGCTTCTGTCTTTTAAAATGGTGAATTGTAAAAAGTTAAATGGTCTTTTCCCACTCCCAGTCAGATCACCTATCCCAGCCTTTACCCACCCTTTCCTTTTCTCCTGGAGAGCATGAGGAGTGACCTGTCTTCCTGGGCGTGACGCACTCAGAGGGTGGGGCAGGTGCTGGGTGTGCTCAGCCCCCACCCCAGCCACATTTCAGGACGTAAGTCAGCACTGCCACCTGTGCCTTACGTGACTCAGACCAGAGGGCTGAGGCCTGGAGGCGCTCTCAACCAGGAGTGCAAAAACATACTGTACAAGTGGCTGCAGACCGACCTCCACACGCTCTGGGAGGGAAGTTGGAGCTGATGCGGCCAACTTGGAAGTCCTGACCCGAAGTGCTGTAGCGTGGGCCTGAGCTTCTGTAGAACCTGGTCTAGGCTCTGGGCTTTCAGCACCAGACTGCCGCTGTCTAATGATTGTGATGCAAAATGTGATTCCTTAAGAAGAGTCCCGAATTCTGAGCGTCTGGATCGTTGGTCACCCTATCCTCTGAAGGGTAATACTCACGCACGTATGATGTGAGACTTAAAAGTATATCCTTTCCTGCTCCTTCCCTTCTTTTCTACCTTTCTCTTCTTTCTTTTATCCCTTCCCTCCTATCAAAAGAATTTTAGATATTAAAACACTTAAAGATTCTAAAAACTAAATCCAGATAGTGGTTTAATTTTGCTCCTTGAGTCCATGGGTTTTTGTCTCAGGTAGGCATGGGAAAATAATTGCCATAGGCCTCAAGGAGTTTGCAATATATTATCAGCTATTTAAAAAGAAGTCTATGAAAAGTAAAGTATACAATTATATTTTTAAAAATTAATTTTAAAAAGGATGCTGTTATTATAGTGAATTCAAAGAAATATATTGGAATAGATGTTCATATATTGCTTAAGGATATTTTGATACCGAGGAAGGAATGATCAACATTCTGTATTTTAATACTTGCCTCCTCTATGTAGAATACGGGTCCTCAGAGAGTGCTCTTATGAAGAGAGTGGTTAAATATCAAATATATAATTTTCATGTGATTATTTTCAATTGGAGAAAAGTTTGTTTTTTAAAAAAATTTGTCTGTGTCTTACTTACTTTCTCATTGCTAGGATAAAATCCACGACACTTACAAGTTAAAAAGAGGATTTACTTTAGCTGACAGTTTGTAGAGGTTTCAGTCTATAGTCAGCTGGTTCCAAGGCAGGGAGGCATGGCAGAGGGCGTGGTAGAGGAGGAACAGTCCATGGCAGGGTAGGCAGGAAGCAGAGGGAGATCAAGGGAGGAGGAGGGATACACTCACAGTGACCTATCTCTTCCCACCAGGCTTCACCTTCCAACACCATACCCAGCTACAGGTCCACCAGTGGACTAATCCAGTGATGAGTATACACACCCATGATCCAGTCACCTCCCCAAAGCCCCACCTATGAGCACAAGAGGCTCTGGGGAGGCCTCTTAGATGTAAAGTATAACAATCTGTTTCACCTTAGAAATAGTTCACTCTATAAACATGACTCACCATGTTTGTCCTCCCTGTGCTGTGATCTCAGGCTTTAGTCTCTGGGAATTCTGTAATGGTGGAATCACTTTATGATGTGTATAGATTCCCCCTGCCCTGCCCTACCTGCCCAGAGAACCTTGTACTGACTGTCACTACCTTATATTCTGTAGTAAACAATTTATGTTTTTTAATTTTTAAAATTTTTTTGGTGCTGGGAATTGAACTCATGACCTTGTTCTTGTGAGGCAGGCGCTGTGCCACTGAGCTACATCCCTGGCTGTCGTATGCAATTTATAACAAACTTAAGCATTGTTTATTGGGAGATACTAGGGCAGAAAGACCGCTGGAAGAGGAGTTGTTTGTGTTTTAGACATACTCCCTCATTTAAAAATGAGGATTCAAATATACTTTTTTGGTGAAGTACTTCAGATTTTTAGGTTAAAAGTTACCTTGTAACTCATCTCTTTTCATTATGCACCTATTCAAAATGAGGAGGAGGCAGGAGCGGTGAGGAGACGATTAGCTAGGCCACCTCACAGTGCGTGGGGCCTCAGGGATGTGTCAGCCTCTCCCCTCTCCTCTGTTCCTCAGAGAATTTGCTTGACTCCAAGAAGCAATGAAAGACCACAGGGGTGAGGAGAAACAGTGGATATAGGAGCAGTGATTAATGGTGTAGACTGTTTCCTCCACATGCTGTTAGAAATAATACAAAAAAAATCATTTGACCTTTGTGTGTGCTGCAACGCATCCCTTGAGAATGTTGTCAGTTTTGCCTACTGAACTGAACTCATCTAAACGTCTCCATTGTCCCCAAGCCACCATCATATCTCATGTCCATTTTTGACTGGCCAGTGGTCCCACAGACTGAACACTGGGAGTAAACAGGAGCCGAAGAGTCCTAGGACAGAAGGACATGTTTATATTAGATTCACCACCTTACTACCTTTAGTTACAGTGCTAAAAAAAAAAGTGAGAGCCCTTGAGAATGTGCTGGCCAGTGAAATGCTTCCTTTTACTCTGTTCTATTTACTTTGCTTTTCAGAATGTCCTGAAAGTCCTACCCTTGGTTTATGGCAGCACTGTGCTCATATAGAATGCAGATGTACAGCTGTTACCTAGAAGTTTGTGTGTACGTACAGCACTGTATCCTAAACGTGGGATAACATGTAGGCAAAACTCTCTGTGCTCCTATTTTTCTGAACCTGGGTATGGTAATTTTTTGAAAGTCATGGCCTTCATTCGTGCTCATGTGAAATAGTTGTTAATAGTCTGGCAATATAATCCAAATTATCTTTACTTTGACATTCAGTTATTTAATTTGACATGTCTAGCTATTCTATGACATTTAAAACATTGGGATTGCATTTGCTTTGTCATTTTCAGCAAAAGAGCCATTTGATTAACCTGCTGGCCTAGAATATGGAGTTCCTTTTTTTGAATTGCTTTGGAACTATGGACTCTTCACGTCTGTAAAAATATGTTGTAAATATCTCCTAGGCAAGGTTCTCCAGCTGAAGGGTAGTCATTATTTTGAGTCTGCCAAGTGGCTGTCATGGGTCAAGACACCATTATGTATTCCTGGAGTATCAGTTTTTTTTGGCTTTTTGAGACAGGGTCTTGCTATGCAGTGCAGGCTGGCATTGAGCTCACTTTGTAGCCCAGGCTGGCCTCGAACTCGCAATGATCCCCCTGCCTCAGCCTCCCGAGTGCTGGGATTACAGGTGTGTGCCACCACGCCTGGCTTGGAGTATCAGTTCTTGTACGTTGTAAATTTGAGACACTTACAGTAAGTGGATTACCCCTGGATGAGCATCAGTGCCTTTTATATTTTCAGTAGAGGCTTTTGTTAGACAGGAAGAGTACATTCCTCCTCATTTTCCTTTGTTTTAAAATTCTGGTAAGGCATAGCATTTTTTAAGAACTTAAAAATTTCCTGTCATCTCTTCAGATGATATTTATGTTAATATTAAATATCATCAGTTAGCCTGAGAGCAGTTTGAGGAGCAGTTACTTTTTACTATTACTTTGAATTAGAGGACCATTATTCTACAGTCTTCAAAAAATTGAGTCAATTTAACTTTTAAAATTAAGTATATGTCGGTGAGAATAGACTTGCTTTGAAACTATTTCTAAGCATGTTCTAGTTTCATATGCTTCATCAAAAGACTGCTACTTGTATCATCCTGTAAAATACATTGTAATTTTCACTTCCATTATAATACAGGAAAATAAACATTTCCTAGATGATTTTTGAGCTTCTCATGTCAAAGGACACTTAACACGTGGGTATGTTTGTAATAGGGCTGGTATTGATGTATGTGTTGATACATATTTAAGAATCTATCTCATATTGTCACGAGGCCAGGATTTACCACTCTTCTGCCCAGTGCATTGAGCTGGTGGGAGAGGGCAGTTCCATGTTCCACTTACAGATTTTTAAGATTTTACTTTGAAGCTGGATGTCGTGGTACATGTTTGTAATCTCAGCACTCTGGGAAGCTAAGGCAGGAGGATGACAAATGAGAACCCAGCTTGGTCTACGTAGTGATTTAATGAGACCTTGTCTCAAAGTAAAAAATTAAAAAAGGACTGGGGATGTAGCTCAGGGTGAAGGCCCTGGGTTCAGTCCCCAGTACTGAAAAAAAAGTCTTTCGTAGCTTTTATTTTTATTTTTATTTTTTTTGGTTTTTCTCCGGTACCGGGAACCGAACTCACGACCTTGCGCTTGCCAGGCAGGCGCTTTTGCCCCTGAGCTAAATCCCCAGCCCCTTTCGTAGCTTTTAATAGAATGTGGCTTGATGGTTTTGTCCTTCAGGCCTTTATATCTTGAACTTTTAGTAGAGGTCACTTGATACAGTGGAGTGTCTTTTGTACACAGGAATCTTTATAAAATTTCTTTTATAATTCTCCTGTTTTGAGAAACTTTTCCTTATGAGAATTGTACCATTGAAATGAAACATTATTTTTTCACAGACTAAGCTTTTATGTATAGATCAAGATGATTTTGAAAGCTATTTTAAATTTTGGAACATTGTTAATTATTGTTCACTGTACTCTATTATGTATTCAATAGGAAATCATGATTTATCAATAAAAATTGAAGTTCCTATCTATTATCTGTGTTCTTTTTTTGGTAGCTTACAGTCTATTTATAGCACACTTACTTTACTTAAGCCTTTTTTTTTTTTTTTTTGGTACCAGGAATCAACTCGCAACCCCAAGCTTGCCAGGCAGGTTCTGTGCCACTGAGCTATATCCCC